ATAGCAATAACGCGGCTGAAAAATAACAAAGCCGCTGGAGCTGACAGCCTGCCAGTTGAGCTATTCAAGTACGGCGGCGAGGAGTTGATAAGGTGCATGCATGAACTCTTGTGCAGAATATGGTCAGATCAACGCATGCCCGACGACTGGAATTTAAGTGTGCTCTGCCCAATCCACAAGAAAGGTGACCCCGCCATTCGCGCCAACTACCGCGGGATCAGCCTTCTAAGAATAGGTTACAAGGTCTTATCGAGCGTATTGTGTGAAAGACTGAAGCCCACCGTCAATGAACTGATTGGGCCTTATCAGTGTGGCTTTAGACCTGGCAAATCCACCATAGACCAGGTATTCACAATACGCCAAATCTTGGAAAAGACCCGCGAGAAAAGGATCGACACTCACCACCTATTTGTCGACTTTAAAGCCGCTTTTGACAGCACTAAAAGGAGTTGCCTATACGCCGCTATGTCTGAATTTGGCATCCCCTCAAAACTCATACGGCTGTGTAAAATGACGTTGAGCAATACCACCAGCTCCGTCAGAATTGGAAAAGACCTCTCCGAGCCGTTCGCCACAAAACGGGGTTTCAGACAGGGCGACTCCCTTTCATGTGACTTCTTTAATCTGATGTTGGAGAAGATAATAAGGGTTGCAGAACTGAACCGCTCAGGAACAATTTACTACAAGAGCGTGCAATTGCTGGCTTATGCCGATGACATCGACATCATCGGTAACAAAAACCGCGAAGTCTGTTCTGCCTTTTCCAAGTTGGATAGGGAAGCAAAGCGCATGGGTCTGGTGGTAAACGAGGACAAGACGAAGTATCTCCTGTCATCAAACAAACAGTCAGCACATTCGCGCCTTGGCACCCACGTCACTGTTGACAGTTACAATTTCGAGAAAGTAGAGAATTTCGTTTACTTGGAACCAGCATTAACACCGATAATAATGTCTGCATTGAAATCCAACGTAGAATCACTCTTGCCAACAAGTGCTACTTTGGACTGAGTAGGCAATTCAGGAGTAAAGTCCTCTCTCGACGTACGAAAACCACGCTCTATAAGTCACTCATCATGCCCGTGCTGGTATATGGCGCAGAAGCATGGACAATGACAACATCCGATGAGGCGGCTCTTGGGGTGTTTGAGAGAAAGATTTTGCGGAAGATTTACGGTCCTTTACGCGTTGGCGACGGCGAGTACCGCAGACGATGGAACGATGAGCTGTATGAGCTTTACAACGACATAGACATAGTGCAGCGAATTAAAATACAGCGGCTCCGCTGGCTTGGCCATGTCGTTCGAATGGACACCGACGCTCCAGCTCTGAAAGTATTCAACTCGGAACCCGCTGGTGGTAGCAGAGGAAGAGGGAGGCCCCCACTGCGATGGAAAGATCAGGTGGAGAAGGACTTGGCTTCACTTGGCGTTTCCAATTGGCGTCAGTTGGCACAGAGGAGAAACGACTGGCGTGCTTTGCTGAACTCGGCCAAAATCGCTTAGGCGGTTACAGCGCCAAAAAAGAAGAAGAAGAAGAATTCATTGAAAAGTTATTTGCAAAAAACACTTGCACTTTCCGTACACGTATTTATTAGTTTTTTATACATTTGTCATGTTTTCAAGTGTACATTGTCGCGAAATTCTGTATTTAATAGCAATATTCCGATGGTGAAAATCCGCAGAACAATCTTGTGTAGTTAATATAAATAACATGGAGGAAAACTGGTGCTGCCACTCTATTAAAAATAATAAAACTTTAAAATTCATTTCATTTACGGATGATTTTCCTATTGTTGACTTACAACTTTATTTAATTAGCTGGTGCATATGAAAATATTGTGAATCCGTTCACCGGCAGTTGTATACTTGCGCAGGAAGAGGAACTCTGCAATGTAGCCCTCAAAGTGCTCCTCCACTCTTCCGTATTTTGGCACTTTTGACCGGAGTTCACGCCAATGTCGCTCGATGTTTTGCGTGTGCGCCCCCGTGGTTGGATCCACAAAATTTTCGCTGTGGTTCACATTTTCATGTGTATACCCATGCTCCTTCAAACTATCATATGCTTTCCAGCAGTCACTGTATATCACGGACCCTGGGGCAATTTTTTCCTTTATTACTCGAAGCAGGGTGTCCCGAGTACGGTCTTCCTCGGGGATCACGAACATTTTTTTTGAACCGCGCTCTATACCACCGAAAACCCATTGTCCCTCAATCCATCTTCCACGATTGTACTTCCTGCGGCCCATCTTTGCCTCGTCGATTTCGACCACTTTCCCCTCACCACCTAGCATACCGTCGCTATTTTCAATTGCCCATTCCATCAACACTTCTCGCGTAAAATTCGTCCAGTCGACCACTGTATGTCGGGCGATGCCTATTTCCTCCTGGAGGAAGTCGGTTTTGGGGTGATTCATCGTAATAAAAAACACTACGAATCGACAAATTTGGTCCACGGTGAGGTGGGAGCCGGAAAAAAATGTACCGCTGTATATGCTGCTCTTAAATGAGCACGTAACCTTTTTTGCTGCTTTATTCTTGGTTACCGTTCGGCTTTTGTAGCAAACAAAAAAGTTTCTCCATACGGTACAGGCACTTCCACAATTCGGACAAGATTTCTCGGTTTTTAAAACACCATGGTTAATAAGAAACACTTTCAGTTCGTCTTCATCCATTCTTAGGAATGAAGTTACGTTTAGCTTACAATTTTCGCATGAATTCATTTTTAATAAATTGCATGTGCGTGTTGCGCGTCTTATAACGAAAATAGAAAAGGTAGGTACCAAAGTAGCGGTTGTTTTTTAAATGTATCCGTTAGAAATATTTCGTCTCTTTCTTTAAAAACACCCAAATAATACACAAGAAATATACTTTTGTTCCTTTTCTTCGCACGCAGTAAGGAGAATTCTACGTAGTGAGGGTTATAATCCATAAGCGCGGCCGAAGGCCGCCTACGCAGAAAGGTGTTCTCTGTAAAAGGTGTTCAGCCCCCCTTCTTTGGAACACAGAAAGGAGAATTCTACTGCCTGAGGGTTATAATCCCTAAGCGCGGCCGAAGGCCGCCTACGCAGAAAGGTGTTCTCTGCAAAAGGTGTTCAGCCCCCCTTCTTTGGAACACAGAAAGGAGAATTCTACTGCCTGAGGGTTATAATCCCTAAGCGCGGCCGAAGGCCGCCTACGCAGAAAGGTGTTCGATGCACAAAAACATTTTTAATAGAGTGGCAGCAGCAATTTAGTTCCATTTTATTTTTAATAGAGTGGCAACACTAGTTTTTCTCCGTGTTATTTATATTAACTACCCAAGATTGTTGTGCGGATTTTCATCATCGGAATATTGCTATTAAATTCAGAATTTCGCGAAAGTGTACACTTAAAACATCACAAATGTATAAAAACTAATAAATACGTGTTAAATTAGGGCCCTATTGCGAGTGTCGACTGGCAGTAGAATAGAAATTTGTCGATCGAGTCGATCATCTTTTATTTTGCTATTGTGTAACTTGATCGATAAAAATTTGTACTATTGTGAATGGTTGACAGAATTGTAAACAGCTGTTTGTTTGTTTACATTTGTTTCTTGAGTGTTTAATTTACATCATTTTTAAAAAAATTGCTTTTATTATAAAATTTAAAAAATGGACACAGTTGAAATATGGTTTAGTGATGAGGAAGATGATGCGGAAGCTAATAGATTAGTAGAGTTGGCTAAAGCAAGGAGGAAATTGCGAGATTCGTCGGATCCCTTGGACTTGGAAGGTGTATGTACATGTGTGAGTTTTATGAATAGAAGTTGCGTTCCCGATGCTTCACGGTTTTTAGGCTTTACATGATTTGCAGGAAAAGCTTTTTTCTTCATTAATAAACTTTATGGAAGTTTAAGAAATACGGTACGGTTAAGTTTTTTGTACAATGATGTTGGGTTTTTGTGTCCAAAGGCGTGACCCGAGTTTAAAAACTTTAACATAACAACATAACAAGTGTATTGAAAGAATTCAACTTTAATTTAAAATAGAGATTTCAAATTTCCGAGCACTAGTCAATTAATAAATTATGCAGTTTTTTTGTATAAACTTTTGATGTTGGTTTTGCGCAAAAACACTGTGGATGGCGAGCCGGAGTTATATGCACAAGAAATATTGTATATGTATCTTTTCCAATAGAAGCGGAGCTTCCTACCCTACTCTTTCCGGAAATTCCTTTGCCTATGTCTTCACTCTCCTACATCAGTACGACCAACCGCGCAAGTTGCCTTTTGTTGCTTATAATTTTTGATCTGTAATTCAGACACATACATGCATATGTATATTTCACAATTTTTTACAACTTCCAGTTCAATTAACTTACTTTTTATCCATTATAGTACCACTTTCTTATGTAAATTTTATAAACGCAAACTCCAACGACTAAAAAACAGCAATAGAAGGATGAGCGATTAAAAAGTATTCACAGTCGCTAATTGAGCGACTAAGCGACACTCGCAATAGCATCGATAATCGATAATCGCTTAATAGTCGTTTATCTACTGCCAGTCGACATTCGCAATAGGGGTGTTAAGTTCATTTCTTCCTTTCATTTGTGTGAAATTCATCGAAACATAGTGAGGAAAGTGCAAATGTTTTTTGCAAATAACTTTTCAATGAATTAAAAATCTTAATTTCCTGTCTCGGATTGTTATTATTGGCGTTAAGAGGCGTCGATTGAGACCCCTCTCGAATTTTTTCCGTCCATTTTGACCTACCTTCGCTAAAGTGCACTTTTACCGCACTTTTTGACGTTGGAGTTTTATAGGGAATTTACATGAGGCGATTTTTAGTTGGATGCAACAATCGCCTGGTGTAAACGGCCTTTCAACTAATCGCTTCCAATGAAGTTGGTCGGCTGCCTACTTTCGTTCAACTTTTGGTTCAACTAATCGCCTGTGAAAGTTGAATCATGTAAATTCCCTATTAGCAATAGCCAAAATTACTTGGTATCGAACGAAAAGTATCGAGTATGTACTTGTATTTACTCGTATCGTTTCATCCTTAAGTGTCGACTCGAACCGACTTTTGATCTTAGGAGATAAGCACTTTAGTCACGACTTTGCGGCTTGTGGGTGTATTTGAAAAAAATATATATATAAATATCAAAATGTCAGAAAAACTTGATGTAATCATATTTGGAGCTTCCGGTTTTACTGGAAAATATACCGTTTTTGAAGCTATTACAGTCTTACAAGACTATCGGTGGGGTATTGCTGGCCGTAGTCAAGAAAAGCTGGAAAATGTTCTCAAGGATATGGGCACAAAAGCACAAAAAAATCTTATGGATACACCAATAATAATTGCTGACATAAATAATGAAAACTCACTGCTTGGAATGGCAAATAAATGCCGAGTTTTGGTAAATTGTTGTGGACCATATCGTTTTTTTGGGGAGCCGGTAGTGCGCGCTTGTCTTGAAGCTGGAACTCATCATGTGGATGTTAGTGGAGAACCGCAATATATGGAAACAATACAATTGAAATATAACAAAGAAGCAATCGACCGAAAAGTATATATTATTTCTGCTTGTGGGTTTGATTCAATACCGGCTGAACTTGGCATCGTTTTTATCGAAAAAAATTTTGATGGTGTAGTAAATTCAGTTGAGAGTTATCTTCAGAGTTATACTAAAGGTGAAGATACTGGAGGCGCCCGTATACATTATGGAACGTGGGAAAGCGCTGTTTACGGATTGGCACATTCAAATGAACTTCAAGAAATTCGCTCCAAGTTGTACAACGAGAAACTACCCAAATTTCATCCAGTGTTAAAACATCGTCCACTCATATTCCGGTCAGAAATAGTAAATGGAGTTTGTTTACCGTTTCCTGGATCAGATCGGTCGGTTGTTATGCGTTCTCAGCGTTTTCTTTATGAGCGTGATCACAAGCGACCAGTTCAAATGCACGCTTATGTAACGTTCAAATCCTGGCTATCGGCTGCATTGGTTGCTTTGTTCGCTGTCACATTTGGCTTATTAACAAAGTTTTCTTTCGGTCGTCAGTTATTGCTAAAATATCCCAAAATTTTCTCGTTCGGATTTGCTTCCCATGAGGGACCTTCGGAAGCTTTGATGGAACGCACACATTTTTCTTTTATTATGAGAGCAAATGGATGGCCAAATTCGGATAGATTATTAGAATCCACTGACCAATATGCAGAACCTCCTACTAAAACTTTGACGGTTAAAGTTTCTGGTTCAAATCCAGGTTATGGAGCAACATGTGTAGCTTTACTTTGTACGGCCGTAACTATATTAAAGCAAAACGATAAAATGCCCGGACCCGGAGGAGTTTTACCTCCGGGGGCTGCCTTTGCAAAAACCAGTTTAATATCTGAATTGGAAAAGTATGAGCATGGTATTAAGTTTGAAATTTTAGCTAACAAGTAAATCTTGATCTTTGGTCATTTCGTTGTTTTTTATTAACTTTTAATTAACTTTTAATTAACGCTTGAAGCTTTGTGTATAATTTTTTTTACAATTTTTAACTGTTATACTTACATACGCATGTCAAGAAATGAATTAACCGAAAATAAAGTAATTGAATTAAAATATGGGCTGGCTTCATAAACGCATTTTGCAACGAAACACTGGAATGCATAAAGTCTAACCCCGCTATTATGAATCCATACGATACACGATAAACGCCGTGGGTTGTGCCGTATTACGAATTAAATTCTAGCGTATGAAATTCGATAGCTACCGTTTATCGTACATCGTTAAATTTTGGTATTAGGTGCGTTGGTTTAAAATCTCCAGTAAAAAACATCCAACTGCCAAATTCCGGCGAAATGTCATCTGTTCTCTCACTAGAAAAAAATATCCGAAATAGTACGCGAACAGAAAATTTGCAGAAACTTGCAAGTTAGACGATCAGCTGATATAATGTTTACATTCAAAAATGTCAAATTTAAAACGTACGAAAAGTCATGACAAAATGTTATACTGGCACAGTTTATTGATTAAACAAATTACTTATTTCTTCCAAGTTTAATTAGTCGCATTTTGTAATTTTTAACTTCCAAACCATCAAATTCGGTTTTGTGTGTTGACAAATTGCTGTTGGCAAAAATTTTTCCAACAGAAACCAGCAGCTTCCCCTCAAAATGAAATGTCACTTTGCTCTTTCAATTTCCCCTAATTTGCAAATTTTTTGCGTACGCGAACGCAAAAACATGTAAGTTTTGGTTAAACATGAACATGCTTCACTTTACGTGACAGATTTGCTTTGACAGATAAGATGA